TAGCAAGCAGTGCTGGGGATAATAGTATTCGAAACGAGTTTTAATTTTTTTAATTAATTTAATTGTACAAACCAACAATAAATTCTATATAAATCAATAATAGAATGTGATTATAATTAAATTATTTGCTTAACATTAAATCATTGATAATAAGAATTAATAAAAAGATATTATCTTGATATCTTTCGATCAAGATAAATATTAAGATATATACATATGTATTTTTTCTTTTCATTTTTTTTTTTTGTTTAAAAAAAAATAGTTCCATTTTTTCAAATTTAAAAATATTATCTATACTATACTTGTACTTCAGAAAAGCAATTCCAATTCACAAATATTCTTTAAAACTTTTGAATCTTATATTAATCTAGGTACGATAAATCTTCAATTTTTATAATTTTAATATTGAAAAGATAAAAATTTTAAAAATTCTTTTTCCTATATAACCACTATAATTTGTACTTTTAATCTAAAAGAATTTCTGTTTCTAAAAAATACTAAAAAGTATATACAAATAAAACATATATTTTTATAAAATATTTCACATACTTTTTCTCTATAAAATACGTTAATAAAAATATTAAATTTGTTTGCAGATAACTTATAATGTTAATAATTAATATTAATAAAAAATTAATAAAACACTATTCAAAACGATATTTTTAAATAATTTAAATAAAAAATCAATAAATTGATAAATTCATAAAAATTCCATTAAAATTTATCTTACAAATTTTTAAACTAATTTTTTAACTTACAACAAAAAAGAAAATAAATTTTTTATTAATAATTGTTTTACGATTAAAAAAAAATATTATTAATAAATTTATTTTCTCTATTCTAACAAATTTCAGCAAAAATTTAAATTGTGATTCGAGATGGAAAAGATTCATCAAATTTCCCCAGCACTGCACGAAAATTCTAATCACGATTAATCGCGCAACTAATAGGAATATTTTCGCGTATACTAAAGCTCTGAATATTCTCGTAGGCGTGTAAATTCTTGTTGTTGTTGATGTAGTTGTCGATGTTGTTGCTGTTAGCCGTGCTACTAACGCCATTACTATCGCGATTGTTAGTAGCAGTATTAGAACATTTAGCAGTAAGGCAGGAGCCGCATCGGATTGGCATGGGTCGAGCAGCAACAAGACAGTCAATTATCTGTCTTACAGTAGGCATGCAGGTTTTGCTGTACCCTGGAAAACACATATCACATGCTCCATCAGAACCGAACCATACATCAACTTCTATCACGCCATCGGGAAGGAGGGATTTCGATTATCTCGTTTTTTTTTCATAATAATATTTTCTCGCATGGATGAATATTTCGATGAATATTTCTTGAATTCAGATACAAAAATTGAGAAAGAGATATCATTGAATAATATATCATAAAAACGAATGTGAATATTTTGTTAATATATAGAACTCGAACATAATTTCGTTATAAGAGATCTAAAAATAGATTAGATTTAAGAGATCTAAAACAGAAAAGTGGCGGATCTATATGAGATCATTCATACAGATGAAAATGAAATATTTTGATTTAAATAATTGATTAGTTTGTTTATTACAATAGTTTATTTTCAAATTCAGTAAGACAACGATAAATTGACTTTTTGTCCATTCATTTCATTCAAAATTTTAAAATTTCTATTTTTTTAAAATTTGATAGGTTTGTAAATTATGCATGGATTCTTTTTTTATTTTCTTATTTAGAGTGGAAACAACTTTTTTTTACATTCTATATCTTATATCTTTTATAGTTTCTAATATATTTCTATTTTATTTTCTTGCAAATTTTTAAATAAATCAAAATTTTCAACAAATTTTATAAAATATAAAAATATAAAAATGATATCGATTATATTTATATTTTTTTATTAGAATTAATTAAAATTGAAATTATAAGACTTGTATTTTTTTAAACTATTCATCTCTTTTTAAATTAAACCTATATTATCAACATTATAAAAAAATTTGAAAAATTTATTTTTAAATATTTTCTTATAAAAATTAATTCTGATATAATTATTTTAAATTTAAATTAAAAAATATTATTAAAATATTAATACTATCTTTGATAGATATATATAATAAACTAACAATATTTTAAAAAATTTATAATATTCATAATTATAGTCAAAGTCTATACATTCTTTTCCTTTCTTGAGACATTCTCTTTCTTCAATTTTTAAGAAAATTTAAAAAAACATTTTGAAAATACATCGATTTTTATTTAATTTTAATTTTTTATAACGATTGCATGATAGAAGTCGTGATGGCCAAACATTTCACATATCACGAAATAATCGAAAAATACAAACAACAAAGAAACGAACGATATAGGGATAGAAAAAAGAAGCGAATTGGTCCAAAATGATACCAGGACAGCCTAAGGCTGTTTTAGTCGCACTCAGGAAGCACTTTTTTTCGTGAATTAACCCTTTGCGGTCGAAGGCCGGTATATTTCCAGGTAGTCGTTTTATATTCAATCCCACGTCAATGAGAATTTTTTATAACAAAAATAAATAGACATATATATTTTCTCTATAATAAAAATACATCAATCGAATTGCAAAACATTCGCGCTCTCTTTTTTTTTTTTTTTTGACTTTTTATATTTACTATCATGTGATACTCTTATAGAAAAAGTGGCGTCCCCAAAGGGTTAAACCATCAATACTGTCAGCTTGCATATTTCTCGCCATCTTCGTCTATCTACGTTACAAATAACAAGAACAAATAACAATTTGCTCGAGAGGGAATGAAAATAGTGTAGAAAAAATTAAGCTTGCGTACCAAACTAATAAAAAAATAGGGTTGAAAAGAAAGATGTGTTAAAAAAAAAAGACATCCTTTTTAACTAAGATAAAAATTAAAGAAATAAAAAGAAATAAAATTAAAAAAAACTAATCATTTTTCGCAAAATCATTCGCAAACACGATGCTCTTCAACAATAGCTTGTCAAATAGACGCGATTATTGGCAGAACAATGGAAATTAGGCACTATGAAAACATAGATATATATCTAAGAAGCTCAACAATTATACCAAACAACTAAAGATGCGCAAAATTGCCTCGGATCGGGCTCGGGTCAAATGGAAGTTTGAATAAAATTAAATGAGATCTCAATACTTTATCTTGTATTGTTCAAGAAACTTTTAAAATTTTTAAAACATGAGCGATAGTTTAGATCTGCTCGAAATAATAATCGAAATGATTAGTTAAAGTTAAAATTCTCGAATAATACGAAAGTATTGCAAATTCGATCTTACTCGAATTTCTCCAATCTGAGCCGAAGTTCGGATTCTCGAATTACAAATTTTCACATTTTTATAAGCAACAATTCATTTCCATTGCACCTAAACATATTTACAATCGAGTCTATTGATAAATCTAAGTAAATATTTTATAATAAAAGTATTCTAAAAAAATATCAATATAAATTAATTATAAAAAAAGATATTTTTAATATAATTCATGAGTATATTAATTCGTTCGAGGAACGATTTCATCACAGTTAGATGCAGTGGAGTATCGCCGATATTTGAATAAAATATTTGCAAAAAAGATAATAATTATAATCCCTGGAGTTATTTCTCAAAGTGAGATTTATGATAAAGAGAGAGAGAGAGAGAGAAACGCGTGATACTTATATAAAGTTACAAAAAAAAAAAAAAAAAAAAAAAAGAAATTAATTGATTCAAAATAAAAGAATAAACTTATAAGATATTTATAGAAATCTCTCGAGACAAAGAAAACATTATTTCATTATTATTATAATAACGGATATAGATGCATGATAATGAATAGAATAGATGAATAGAATCAAGAAACGTTTTTCGTATCTCTCTCTCTTCTTAATTTCTCTTTATATTGTTTTTTTAAGAAAATACATATTAACGATTTAAAAACTATCATACAAAGATATGACGTTCGAGAGATAGTAAAAAACGTACGATATCTACAAAGATATAAAAAAACAATTGGCACATTTTCAATATAAATTTGTTTGGCAGAAGTGTGTATATATGTATGTGTAAATCAATTAATTATATCAATACTCATCGCGCAGAAAGACAGTCTGTAATTGAATTAACGAATA